TAACTTTAACTTTTTTATATATTTAAAGTAAAAGAGACCTTACAAGTATGTTAAAAAGTGTTTCAATTTCATATCACTAATTGTTGTTTAATATATTGTGCATGTGATAACCCTTCATTCATTAGACCTTAGATTTTGTTCTAGTTTTTTTTAAAGATACATGTATAAATATTTTCTAATATTTAATGTGTATGATTAATAAAGTTTTCTTTGTTAGATTTAAAAGATACTTAATCCACTCATATATTAGTCACTCCTATTGTGAATTCGCTTATTAGTGTTCTGCCAATTGTTTATTTGTTTCGTTCATTTATGAAGTTGATGATTTACCCGGAAAATAAAACTTTTGCAGCATTATCTATCTAACGTTTTCATATTTTTATATTTTACTAGATAACATTAAAAAGGACAACATTGTTACTTCTGTAATTTTAGGACATTTATCTTCAAGCTAATCTGAACAAAAAACCTGTCTAATCCATCATAATTCACTACACCGCACCTCAGCTACAATTATCACCACCACACCATTATATATTATTTACTACTAATGGATAGCATAGATGACAGAGGTTAAGTATTTAATGCCTTATGTTCTATTTATTAATAGTCTACTTGTTTACTTCTAGACAGATGCATTATAGATAACTGGTCGAGGTCACTGATTATCTCAATATTGAGATAATAAGAAATGAGAACAATTAGAAAAAACGCCAATCCTAAATTCAATTAAGTATGTAGAATATATCTTCATTATATCTGACATTTCATTAAATTAAATGAAAAATAATAATTTTAGCCAATTGAAAATAGTTTCACTAAAGCCTAAGTTGATATAATCTATAATAAACTGTTTCTTTGAAACGAATTTGTCACTCAGAAAAAATAATTCTCATTCAACAAACTTTTTGTAACTGTTTTACTACGAAAATATCTAATTTTTCGGGAAGATTCAGTAGCCTGAAACTATTTGATTGCAAAGTACACTAATCAGAACAAAAACTGAACGTTCCATCGTTGGTTATATTTATAGGTAAATGTAAATGTATTGTGTTCGCATGAGTACCTGAGGCTCAGATATAAAAATGATTACTAAAAACCTAATTAAACTCACTTTTGTAGTAATGATCGGTTAATTCAGTCTAACCTATTTCTTCTAATCTGGAATATATCGCAGAAAATAAATTACATTCAGATGGTTCTGATTCTAATATAGTTTGACACCAAGACACTTAATCTACTATCGATGATGTGAACCTTACAACTGATGTTTGTTCTTTGAACCTTGGTTGGTAGAAATAGGATAACGATTATTAACTTTAGACTTGAATCAGAAATACAAAGCCTGCAGAAGTCCATTTGAACGAGAGTAATTAATTAGCTTTTGGTAGGGTGATAATAGTCATTTTGTCGTCAAATAAATATGGAGTCAAAAAGTATTTTTGAAATTGAGTCAGCTTTATGAGCTATATGAAACTTTACCAAAACCATTCAGAGTGAAGTATTTGTAAAAATGCCAAATGCCTATAATCAACCCTACTGAAGCAGTTATAATAAAAACATTATCTGAGCAAAACTTTTTCAGCAATTTTCTAGTGACTCTTTACTTTAATTCCTTCCAGACAGTGGGCATAAACATACAAAAATGAAGCCAATTATAAGCAATACACAGGATTACTACATGAATGATAAGTCTTAGATCTGTTACTAGTGGTACGTAACTCACTACATCATTGAACAATTCAATAAAGACAGTGGCATATAATCGACTGAACTAAGTTCATCGTAAAAGTACTGTCTAAACACGGATTCTTTAGCCATTTCTTTATTAAACGCGCTTACTTTAATTTAATTTACACATCAGTGGGTAAAAAAATGCCCAAATCAAATTTTCCGTAATGCTGAAATCTATCGTATGCCAGACTAAATTTAAAAATGCAACAGAGATTCCTAAATTCATTCAATCATAACCAAATACATACTAGACGGAAACGTCTAGTTTCCAAGATATTCTTATCGTAAACGCTAATAATGGTGACTAGATACTACTGATATTTACACTTTTTTTCTCTTTCTACACAATCAGAGTAAATCACTTGGCTAATTTACATCTGATAAATATTTTGCCGCACCATAAATATGCACATTACATGCATTAGTAGTATTATCGATAAAATAATATGGTTTGTCTACAAATAATGATGTGCCCATGTGACATTTTCAGTTTAAAGTTGTCAGTAACTGAATGAATGTTTGTTTAAGATTTTCGTCGTTTCTTTTTCTTCACTAAAATAAATAATAAATGAAGCTGAATTACTGAAAGTGCTAAGTCGATATCTTCCTATTTTTGAAAAAAAAATATTATGCTTACTAACTAACGTTTGACTAGATACTATCATAGTAAACTCCTAATGTAAATTCACCAGGAATTTTAATTCCAAATCAATCATTATTATAGATAGGAATAAATAGTAAGAACAAGTGGGAAAATCTTAGTAAATCTAATTAGTTTCATATAAAATTATTACCGTCTCACTGATGTCTTTAGACTATTTTTTTCTTCTAAAAATATGACAAGAACGAATGGTGACTTATTTAATCGCACAGTTTAAACAGTTAGCTAAAATAAATATAGAAAAAATTAGTCATTTTGTTTAAACGGAATTCAGAAATTTGTCACTCATAACTATTTCAACAAACTTCCTGATGTAGAATTTCATTTACAGTTCTAGTAACTGAAAACTACAGTCTTAAAGTGACGTTCATCGGACAAAACTATTTGAAAAATAAGATTGAGATTGGGATTTTGTCAAAAGAAAGACATGAATTTTGTTCAGTCTGAATTTTTATAATCAACAATAACCACATTTGTGCCTATATAGTTTCTTAAAATACCGGGGAAAAGAAAGTTTGCTCAATCTTCTAGTTAAAATTTCTAAAATGTTATTTAATAGGATCTACTAGACAAGCATGAGATTGATCACCACCCAGTGATCAATCAATTGTGAATAGGATCTACTGTATTTACCCAATGTTATTTACGTAATTCCTGATCATATATTTGAAAAAGTATATGATCTGTTACTGTGAAACATAATTCCAACAGGACCTCTCATAACTGATGTTACTTTTTAGTCCTAATTTGTGATATAAGCATATTTTTTCCCTGGACCCTTTAAAGTCAATTACTCGAACATCGGATTTTCGCATTTGCACCGAATTCATGACAACACTGAGATATGACATAAATCGTTCAAGGCTATATCAAGCAGTTGTTTCCTAAAACTAGTACAATAAGTATTTGGGTATTTCACTTACCTTTTCTTTCAAAATTTAGAAACCATCTAAATTTGGATTAATAATAAAATTCGTCAGAGGTATTATTTTGTCAAACCTCATTAGAATTATAAAGTACGTTACTCAGAAACCGTAAAAAAGACTGAAATTTAAGAATGCTTCTGTTATAACGCTCGGGGTTCTTCGTCTGCACGAATGGGACGTTAATTTAACTTAGACGAATATCTACACTAGCTTCCTTTTCAGTGTCTAGTGTACAGGACTTCAATACCACTCTAATCAAGAACATATGATTAGCCTGACTAGAAAGTAAATATATTTCCACACCAAAAACCAGGAACAATCAATAATAATAAGGATAGGGAAATATATAGCTCATCTAACGCTTGTCGGACTATCTACAAGTCTGACTAAACAAACAACCAATCAATATCATTCTCGTCTACACATCAGTTTCCATCTAAGCTCACAATTATTTTTTTACATATTACATTTTTACACACCATTCAGTGTTGATCAGTTGCTTTATTACTTAGATAAGACATGAGGTACATTAAACAAACAGACATTTTGTGTACCTTTTTATTCGACTTCACAGAGTGAATTTATTGTGAAGAAGCCGAATTTTACTGGCAATTATATGAAATACTTATACAATTTTTGTTTAGAAAACAGTCAATTGTCTAAAAAATGAAATTTATGAACATTTAACAGAGATCAGATATTGAAAGTATCATGTAAAATATAACATCGAAATTATGATCTTATGTTTAATGGTGACTACGAACGAAATTCTCAAGATGTATGTCGTTTTATATGAGACTAGTAAATTGAATGTTTACTAGATATTCTTGGATTGCCAACTATTGTTTCAAAACCATACATCTTTATTAACTAGGTCATAAAAGTCAATTATACTTTAACAGATATGGGTGTTATGGTATTCTTTACCCTCTGAAATATTTAGTCATCAAGCTAAAATGATGTAACTGTGTTGACATTTTCGCTATCTGTACAAATGGATTATCATTACAATAGAATTTGATTAATTAGCATGTATCATTACATTCCCATTTTCTTGTTGTTTTAGCATAAAATTATTCCATTGGCATTGCTTAGATGGTCGTAATAACAACATTTATATTCCATCAGCTCAAGAAAGCAAAAAAGCTTAAAGATTTCATTTGCTGACAGTTTATCGAAAAAAGGAACGGGTTGAAACACCATTTATTTTATAAATTTACTTGACTGATGACGTTGACCTTATTACTTCACATCTGGTTAAAAGGCGCAGTTCTTACTTGATAGAGGTATATTCTGTTCCCCAAAACCATATAAACTAATTAAATCAAAAAACTTCATGATGGGTTATCATTCTTTGCTTAACTGTTGTACTCTACAAATTACTGAACCTATTGGTTTATATTGTCTGAACGTTTCTGTACATCATAAATATTGTTCACAATGTTTATTGTCCTGACTCATACAAAGATCATAATCATGGTACTCACACGGTCTAATAATACAATATGATACATATAATCGATGCGTACTTAGCAATATGTAAACATACTAACAGAAAATATGCAGAAAGTTGCTGGAAAACAAAACATGTATAAGCACGTAAGATATTCAGTACTATTAGTATTCATCTTATTTTAACAGGTATAAAACAATCAATAATAATAAACGAATTAACCTACTTCAGGATTAGGATCTCCTTCAGGTGGTAGGCACGTTAGCACAAGACGTTTACTGACAGCTAAATCTGTAGAAACCGGTTCCAGTTGGAATTTTTCATCTAAATCTAAATGAACAGAAAAAACATATATTCCCTTAGGATGATCAGTTGTCATGTAAAAATGGAGTAGCCATCAATAATAACTATTAAGCGAGGAATTCGGGAACTTAAATATCCATGATAAATGAATATTGCCTCGA